ATTTTTATTTTCGATGTATGAAGGCCAGGGTGGTATCGTCGTAGTCTCCTTTCATTGTATAGAAGTTGTTCGACTTTGTTCTTGCAACTTGATCATATTGTCAGGAAGGCCTAGAGGAACGCACCTTGTCCGGAGTCCATAGTATGCATGATAATTTCCAGTAAAAATGTATTAAGCTCACGTGCTGATTCTGGAAATTGTCATGCATACTATGGATTCCCGACAAGGTGCGTTCCTATATGTCTTTCTGCCAATATGACCAAGTTGCGAAAATAAGGTTTAACAATTTCTATTTTCATTACCATTAATTTAATCTATGACTACTTGGTTTTTCTCTCTTGTTGTTTCATTTCTTTCAGCTTCAACGTCTTCTGCCCGCCACTCTGGCGGCGTACCTATTTTCTGATTTCTGACTCGTCCGTCATTTCGGGTTTGAAACTTGGTCCATCTGTTCCGCACATCTTTGCCCTTCCTTCGCTGACCTGCTACTCATTCCTGTCTTGGGCATTGAGTAGCGGTTTTCTTGTATATAAAATATTTTTGGCAAATCAGGCTATTCTCAGTATATCTGATTTAGGCCTATAATGGATCCCTCTGCCCCCCTGGCACCAGGGGATGAGCTAACCCCATCCTCGCTGTTGATCGACGTCGGCAGTGGTGGCTTACCACCAGTCCAGTGCAGAGAAATTGAGGAAGATGTTGAGGAAGAGGACGTTAAAGATTTCCAAATGAAGAATAAGGGTACAAAGAGACCAGTTCTTCGAGAAGCAACAGCTGCCACATATGATAGTAAATGCAAGACAATGACCACCTTTATGTCTGATACATCTCGGGGATTCGATCCACAGCATCAATCCGATTCAGAAACGCAAGACCGCCGAGGTGATATCCTTTCTGTTGATTTGTTGACATTAAAACGTAATTCTTTGGCTGGGGGGCTACTATCGACCCATGGCAGAGCACGCGAATCACGAAAAAGCAGTCGTGTTCACTTTTGTATCAATCCTTTGACATCGTCCATTGTAGCCGCAGCCCTCTCCACCACTGGTGGAGAGCTTGATTCTGACATTCTAAGCGATGGCTCAGGAGAATATTCTCGTTCGTCTGCGACCAGTGCCCGAGTCCGATATCGACTAGTGACTGCATCATCTCTTGAGGCCACCGCTCTGCACAGTTCTATAGGGGAGACGGAAGATTCGGCTGCGTCGCGCGCTGCTAAAACTCAGAGGAAGGTGAGGAAGCCTTTTAAGCGTCTGTATTGTACGTTTTTTTCAATTGATTAAATTCCATTATCATTTCAGTATTTCGCAATTAGGGATTAGATCATTCTTTTATCTGGAAGAAAATCTTCTTATCTTTCGGTCAATATAACTACCGGAAAATTTGATTGTTTTGGCCTTCATTAAGCATTTGTTAAATCCAAACATTAATAGTCCGGTAGCCTTTTCAATACTTCATTTAAATGTACGTCCATCCTTGAATCTAATTTCTCATTTATATTCATCTCTGATTCTTTCTTTTAATTATCTTTATTTTATTCCGGTAAGTAATATGGTTGTAGTTTTTATATTAAACTTAAAGCTCTTAAACTTTCATGTTTTTATTTGGTATTTTCTTGCTTTAAATGGTTTTTAGGTGAGTTTTTGTGACCCCCACCTGGGCACTATTGTGCCGGCTGGCGATCCGCAAAATGACAGTAACTCAGGCTCCGATGCAAGTGACACCGAAGTTAAGGGAGGTGATGAATCGGCCGATAACGACGGGGATGTGAGCTCTGGCGATCCCGAGCCTGGCTCGGAGGGCAAAGAGTCTGGTGGAAAATGGTCGCACGCAGCGAGTCAGGGTGACGGGAAGAAGCATGCAAAAGTAAAAATTAAAAATAAATACAGGAATAGGGCAAGACCTATTTCACCGCCGAGTTTTGCTAAAGGAAATGCAGGGCGTCACGTAACGATTCATGGGCCTTCTAACCCTGAGGGTGAAGGAGGCCACATTGGTCGTACCGATGTTCCCTCATCTGTCACCGACGAGGCTGGCTCGACTCCTACGCTCCCTGGACTTACGCTGACTGCCAAGGATTCACTTAGCCAACTATTTGATAAGGAAAATGTAAAACGGGCTAATGAGGAGGAAGATGACAGTTTAAATGTTGGCATATTCTCGGGCAGTCGAGTGACAGTTCGTCCTATTCCTGATCTGCCACACTGCTCCTATGAAATTTCTATGGGTATGCTGAAACAGCACACTATCTATCAAGTTGACTTCGTCTTGCCCAACCAGCTGGGTGCGGCTCGCGTAGAGCTTCTCCGCAGATCGTCCTGGCTCGATGAAGCAGCTCGTTTAGCAGCGGCTAGCAGCCTTCCGGCTTGCTCGACGATGGATGTGCTGGATGAGTTTGGTGCCTCTAGAGATGAAGAACTGGACGAGGAAGAGCGTGGCGACGAGCTCGAGGCGGAGGAGGAATGTTCAGAGGATAAATTCGGTGATGAAGATTGGCACAATGGAAGGCAGAGTGTGGAGGATTACGGAATTGCTCCTGTGGGAGACAAACTACTTGTCGGAGACAGTGATCATACCGAATCGAAGAATTCTCAGGTGAGTCTTTCAAATCTAATGCAATTCACTACTGGTTTTGTATGTTTATATATATATATATATATACAAAGCCCAGAAACGAGACAGTTTACTATGCACTTAATATGTTATAGACATAATTACGATCTGTTAAATGATTGCACTGCTGGAAAGACAAATAGGAATTTACTTGCTGTATAAGTAGTCTAGAATCTAATAAATTCCCTCACAATATTTCACATTTTTTTAACTAAAATGTATTATCTTGTTAATTCGCCTTGATTGCTTCTCGTTCATCGCTCAAGGACTGATCTGCATAAAACACTGGGAATTATGACAGTCCTAAGGAGAAAATTGTCAGTTTAAACTTCCTTGCAAAATTAAATATTAGTATAGCCTATCATCATCTTCTGATGTAATCGGCCTATTAGTCTTTTGACTAATATTCAAATGGAATGAAAGTTGACTCCACAATTATATATTAGTCCATCTTTTCATAGATAGTCTCAGGCATCTATTCAAGTAATCAGATATGGAGATAGTTAAGAATAGAAGTAGGCAAGTAGCAATATCTTAAATAGAAAAATAGGAAATTCCTAGATCAGATAGTTAAATACAAATGCACGACCAGGTGACAGAAGGAATTGTGAGAGAAAAATCTAGTGAAGATAGGAAACATCGAAGTACAAATCTGCTCTGCCTGATTCTCTTGTAATGTTTCTCAATATTGTTTATTTAATATTTATATGAGATGTATTCACCCTATTTCTTTTACGGTGATGAAGGTAGTAGAATTTTCCCACAATGATTTGAGAAGAGCTGACGTTTCCATTGAATTCCAAAGAGCCTTGCTTTCCCTAAAGTTGTTATATCCACGGTGGACTGCAATTTCGACCTCGCATAGGCCTTATCAGCACCCATGGCAGGAGTCGAACCGTTGTGCAGCATGTGAGCTTGATACGTTAATCACTCGGCCACATTGCCACGAGTGCCCTTGGGTCACAGGGAGGATTCGAATTTCAACGAAGTCATTGTCGATGAAGCAAGCTTATTTTTGCTATACATCCCATATAACTTATTTACTGATAGTCTCGCAGATCTACTTATGTACGAAAACTGATTAATGTAGTCGATCGACAATCCCATC